TCAACTTTTTGTACTGCCCATACCATTGCCAACACTCTTTCTCAATGAGTGAGTGGCACTCTCTTTTCATAGTAGCTTTCTACTCACAAACATACACGGGGAATTTCTCATTTTCATGCTCCTGCAATAATATCTCCACCTATCCCTACATCAGAATAATTTCAGTGCGAACTAAGAATGGTTTGTGTAAATCTGGAAGCCGTAAAATCGGAAAAGATGACAAATACTTCTTCAGAGCTTGAAAGCATTCTCTTGATAGCCTTGTCCACCTAATCTTTGTTCGATTTACCTTTTTTGTCAAAATCCAGTGAGTGGTGCTGCAATTGCTGCAAAGTTAGGAATGAACTTCCGGTAATAACCAGTAAGTCCTATCAGAGCTTTTACTTACTTCTTCGTCTCTGGTCTGTACAGTCAGAAGAATCTTATCTAGATTGTGTGAATTGAGGTATTAACTGACCTTCCCCAACTGTGTGACCTAGGAATTCCAAATGTGTATATCCTATCTTTACTCTTAGAAGGGCGTGCTGTCAAATGATGCTGCCTTGAAGGATGATCAAATACCATTCTTGAGACTACTTCTGTGGTTCTCCCAGTCCTCTGTACCCTCCAAGATGTCATCAATATAATTATCAACATTCGGAATACTTTTTAGGACTTTTCTCCTCAACCGGGAAAAAACTGCTGAGATGATTCACAACCCCAAAATGGCATAACCTCTTCCATTGATACAGCAAACTCCATCAGGGGTAATAAAGGCAGTATATTCTTTTTGCTCCTTTCCTCCATGCAGAACTTGCCAGCAAGCCTTGCTAATGTCAATTTTGGTCAGGTGTGCATTTGCATTTAATAATAATAATAATAATAAATGCATATTTATAATGCGCCCTTCCACACCCTGGCAAGGCATGCTCAAAGCGCCACAGAATATTTACACTGGAGTATTTACAGATGAAGTTATACATAGTATACTGAGAAAGGTGGGTTTTAACATCTGCTTAAAAATGTCAATTGTGCTTGCAGCTTGCCCCAAGGGCACATGGGAGAGAGTTCCAGAGCCACAGCGCGGAGTAAAGAGAACCATCGTGTCTCTCAAGGATTTCAGTTTGTAGGATGGGATGACCAGACTGTTTACTCAACTTGCTGAATACAGCTTCTACGCCACGGAATAGGTTCCGGATCAAATACTGATATCTCGATTCAATTTCCTGAAATCTGCACAAAAACGGTAGAGTCTCGCCAGGCTTCTTAATCAGGACTACTGAGGCAGCATAAGGTGAATTTGATGGTTCTATCACATCCATCCCCTAACATGGACTCTACCTCTCTAGCAACTACCTCCCCGCATATGATGGGGCAAAGGATAGGGCTTGGAACTGATTGGTTCAGTAGAGTTTTAACTTAATTTTAATTCTAGCAGAGTCTGTCCTACCAGGTAGATCTGTAGAGCACATCTTGATATTCGCAAACCAACTCACTTCACTTCCTGTTTCTGCTCTGGTGTCAAGTCTGGGAAATGTCCACGTCCAAGTAAGTTTTCTTAGCACAAAGAGGGATCGTCATGATATCCAACTGGTCTCAAACTGGGCTAACAACTCATCCATTAGCTTCCTGAACATCAATTAACCCTGCTCCTACATGCTGTGTTAAAGAGGACATTCTTACATCACACTCACTAACTTCTGCTCCTACATGCTGTAAGCTGAGTGATACTTACATCACATCCAACTAACCCTGCTCCTACATACTGTAAGTAGCTAGTGATACCTACATCACATCAATTAACCCTGCTCCTACATGCTGTAAGCTAGTGATACTTACATCACATCAATTAACCCTGCTCCTACATAATACTGTAAATAGTGATACTTTTACATCACATCAATTAACCCTGCTCCTACATACTGTAAGCTGAGTGATACTTTACATCACATCAATTAACCCTGCTCCTACATTGCTTGTAAGCTAGTGATACTTTACATCATCATCACTAACCCTGCTCCTACATACTGTAAGCTAGTGATACCTCTTACATCACATCAATTAACCCTGCTCCTATGGCTACTGTAAGTTTCAGATACTTACATCACATCAATTAACCCTACTTACCATACTGTAAGCTAGTGATACTTACATCACATCAACTAACTCCTGCTCTACATTACTGTAAGCTAAAGATACTTTTCTACATCACATCCAATTAACCCTTGCTCTACATGCTGTAAGCTAGTGATACTTACATCACATCAATTAACCCTCTCTGCTACCTGCTGGCCGCAAGTGATACTTACATCACATCAATTAACCCTGCTCCTACTACATACTGTAAGCTACAGTGATACTCTTACATCACATCCAATTAACCCCTGCTCCTACATACTTTGTAGGTTAGTGATACTTACATCATCAATTAACCCTGCTCCTACATACTGTAAGCTAGTGATACTTACATCACATCAATTAACCCTGCTCCTACATACTGTTAAGGCTAGTGATACTTACATCACATCAATTAACCTCCTGCTATATACATACTGTACGGCCAGTGATACTCTTACATCACATCCACTAACCCTGCTCCTACATACTGTAAGCTAGTGATACCTACATCACATCAATTAACCCTGCTCCTACATACTGTACGCTAGTGATACTTACATCACATCAATTAACCCTGCTCCTACATACTGTAAGCTAGTGATACTTACATCACATCAATTAACCCACCATTCTACATACTGTAAGCTAAGTGATACTTACATCACAACAACCAACCCTGCTCCTCCATATACTGCAAGCTAGTGATACTTACATCACATCAATTAACCCTGCTCCTACATACTGTAAGCTATTGATACTTACATCACATCAATTAACCCTGCTCCTACATAATACTGTAAGCTAGTGATGTACAAACATCACAACATTGTGTTCACAGCTATTTCCCTGTCAACATACTTCTCAATAAGTTTGCATGGTAAGTTTTCAACTTATTCCCGACTCTCACTCGATAATTGCCAATGCCAAACCGTTCTCAATGGTGTAAGGACCTTTCCACTGTAGTAATAACTTGTTCTGATTGGTTGGCAATAATACCAATATACCTTGTCTCCTGGGGACCATCTTTCTATACTTCGACTTGGCATTGTAATATTTCTGATATTACCTTCCAGAAGCTTTCTTTAGTTCCTGTGTGCTAAGCGCATTGTATCTTCAATCCTTGTTTTGAAGATCTACTACATATTCATAAGTAGTCCTGACCTCATCATTTTCAATGTCCTTAGTCCACAGTTCACAAAATTTGTACTTGACCCCTAATCTTCCTGCCATACAATACCAAGTCAAAGGTGCAAAACCAGAGACTTTCTTGTGGTACCGCCCTATAAGCAAATAAAAGTGCAGGTATATATCTATCCCAATCTTGAGGCCGTTTCAGCACTTAACCTTTTTCAACATGGTTTTCAAAGTACCGCTGGAATCGCTCAACCAAGCCATTACGCATGGGGTGATATGGTGTAGTGGTCAACTGTTTCAATGACCAACAACCTGCTAACTTCCTTCATTACTGCAGAAGTAAATTGTAAAACCCATGTCTGTCAATACTTTGGGACACCAACTCTACAAAATATTCTCCAGCAATGCTTCTGCCACCTACTCGGTCTCAATTTGTGCAATGCTACTGCTTCCAGGATATCTAGCTGTATAATCTACAACTGTTAAGATATACCTATTGGGCTCTATCTGTAACAGGGTATATCGTGGGCCAATCAGATCAATGCTATTCTCTTCAAAGGTGTCTCAATCAACGGCTTGGTACCTAACGGGATTTTACTGACCTTCCCCTTGGAAGTAGTACGCTGACAAATATCACAGGATATGCAATTCCGTCTAACATCTCCCTGTACACAGGCCAATAAAACTGTGAAGTCACTCTATTCAATGTCTTCTTGCTACCCATATGACCACCGATCAATGCCTCATGAGACACTCTCAAAACATCCTTTCTCAAACTTATGGGTACAACTGCTTGTACAACTGGCTTTTACTGTTATTGACTTTATAGCAGAAACATGCCTCCTGTACAACAAACCATGATCAATGAAGTAACCAGACGTACCATGGAGTCGTGTTTCTGACCTTGTTCTGCCATTTTCTTCTCACTTTATTCAAACTCTCATCCTGCCTCTGCATTTCCACAAAACTCATTTCTACTCAAGGAAACACCAACTGACTCCATAGTTTTCATGGGGATTTTACCTTCCTCTCACTCTTTCTGACCTCTAGTTTTCTACTGCTAGCACTGTTTCTGTGGTTTCTGGAAAGGATTTATCAGGGGCTCTTAACTCCAGTGGAATATACCCAAGATCAAATCTACACACACAAAGGAGTCTCCGGACAAGCTGCTTTAACAGTACCTCTGTAGAGCTGAGTATCAATAGTAATCCAAGCTAAATTTTGAATTACAACTGCTCTACTATCTGCCATTACACATGTTCTGAGTATCTGAAGTGAAATGCTGTTCATCAACTAAAGATTTCCTCACAATAACCCCATGCAACCTCATCTCGTAATACCTGCACAGCATGATCAAAACTACTTTACCTGGACAAATAGGCATTGTTCCACACATCTACACATGTCCTGTAGTTACCTCCCCTCATTAATATCATCAGTGATGATTTTATCCTTCTACATGTGCGTCCACCTGAGCTTCATTTATATCAGACCATCCTGTACCATATCAACAGACTCCTCTTGGTAAATACTAGCAAACCTTCATGCCTTTTGTATGAGATGCTTAGAACATCGAGGAGGCTATGTGACCCACCTCCCCAATAAGCATAACATTTCCTCTGATTTTATAGTGGAAACAAACTTAGTAGGTTCTCTTTGTCATCTATGTTCTTGACTTTTCTACTGTCCTCTATAACCTTTCTCTTTAATTCTGTCTTGGTGAACATATTTGTTACTCTTTTGCTATACAAAGGATTCTGGAGACTTACCATTAAATCCCTTCCTGTGCCTCGTGCTTCAACAAATTGTTCAGCAAGTTTAGCCATTTCCATAGCTGTCTTAGGCGTCCTCTCCCTCAAAACATGCTCAAATCTCTCCCCTGTACTATTGAGAATCTGTTCTCTCAGTAGGGAGATCTCTCTCACCCCGTCATATAAGTTTTCGAAAGTGCCACTTAACTCTATCCACCTGGTGAAATAATTCTCGATTCTCACTACAAACTGAGAAAAGTCTCACCTGTTTCAATGTTAGCTGTCCTGAAACGTTGATGGAATCCATCCTCAGTCATAATCATACCTCTTTCAAAAGAGCAGTCTTCACTTCCTCATATTTTCTCCGCATCATTTTGATCTAAACCGAGAATAAACTTCTAACTTCTACCTTTCAAGGGTACTCAGATAAGCTGCCCACTGTGACTCTGGCCATGCTTGTGTCTTAGCTATTCTGAACCTTTGCAAATAGGCATCAATGTTATCTTTCTGATCTCTCTTCAAAAGGGGCATTTAGGCATTTTAGGCTTACCTGGGAGGAAGGGGTACTGTTCTCTCTGAGCCTCACTCATACTATTTTTTTCTTTAGTTTCCCAATTCTACTCCACTTTCGCAATCACTTCTAACTGGGCTTTCTTTCTCTAACTCCACATGTAACCTCACCTTCTCTTCTCTGCTTCTATGCTAGCCTTCTCTTTCTCTCTGCTTCTATCCTAGCCTTCTCTACCTCCATTCTCTCCTTTCTTTCTCTCTCTCCAGCTTAGCCTTCTCCAACTCTTGCTCAAACTTTTAGCTTCCCTTACATCGCTCTCCTCTCTTTCTTCTTTGCCTGCTCTTTTTAGCTAGCTGTATGTCAATCTTTTCTTTCACAAACAACTGTAAATCCTTTCCCAGATAACCTAAACTTTCACCAAAATTCTAAATTTTCTGTAAAACCATGGTGACAAACCAACCAGCAATCACAAGTAAAAACAAACTCCCAATTAAAAAATCTGACTTCCTATGTACCAACTTTTTACACTTCCTTATAGTTAGATAAGCAACAACTGCACACTTCCTCCCTGCTGAGTTAACACATTAGGGCTCGTACACCTTTTAGAGCATACCGACGGCCAAAACATGGTTAAAGGCTGAGAAAGGCTTAATAGGTCTAAAAGTCCACTATACTATCACCTAACGGTCAAAACAATTTTACTCAGATGTGACGGAAATTGTACATCCCACCCGCTGCCACCAAAATGTCATCTGCATACCAGAGTAAACACAAAACCAGATTTAAAAGTTAAAATAATTTATTAACTAAATTTACCCTATTTCCAATAGTTAATATAGGTTTGCATCACAACTTCATTCTCGCATTACCAAACACCTGCACTCTTTCCCCTATTAACACCCAAACAAGCACATCATACCTCACCATTCACATATACTCACATACACTCACATCAATACTCAAAATATCCCACACAACACCACAATTGTCTTTTTAAAGAAACGCTCAACAATTCATATATGATTATGTCATGTACATGGAAGATGGAATAGGCACAAATCAGTTGCATGCTATATAAATCACTGACGATGTTATTGTCACCACACGTGGGGTTTCCAGACAGTTCAGGTCTTTGGTGGTAGGTTAGGGTCCTTTCCCTGCATGTGTAAGTCTCTACACACTTTGGGCATGTCCATATGATGCCTGTTGATCAGTTGGTCCAGCCTTACTGACGGGGCACGTCACTCTCCCCAGATACACAGATGTTAGTTCACATCCATGGGCGGCATGTCAGGGTCGATCCCTAACGATCGGCGGGACAGCCTTGCGGGGTGTAACACCTACCCCGGACACTGGATACAAAAAGCACACCATGTACTTGGTGACTTTACATGTACACTATCTATATTTCTATATATATACATATATATAGATCACATACACAGGATATGTTTACAGGGCTGTTTTACAGTCACTTAATACACAACACTACCACTATACATTACACGTGACCTGCTGAATGAATATCATCATTACGCCAGTATACTAACTTAGAGACATTCTCAAAATGTCACATACCGATCACAATTCCATCATATTACTAACCACAGCAATAATATTACCTATATTTCACCTCGCAGTTATAGTTACATGCTTTAAGGTGAAATACCAATAATTGTACTATATATATATATACAATTCATAGTCATATTCTGACTGAAACATAACATAACATTATCATACTCACACCAGTTGAATATTCAGGAAAACCAGCCAACCTGACACCTGACGCGCACATACACTTTCCAACTGGCTGCCAACTCACAACTTTCAAATCAGTCCTTATATACCCCCCAAGCTACTTGATTAACCCCAAGCTTACTACCCAGATACATACAATGGCTCTCATACTGCACACCCCAACACTCGCTCAACGCTTACATCACTGCTCCAGCTAGCCTCTTTTCACTCCCAATTTCTCACACCCCAGACAAAGAATAAAACATATTACACTAATTGAGATCTTGACAATACCTCCCCCCTCAGATAACTGTTTACGAAACAGTTATAACACTCAAAAGATCACATGAACTATGTACAGGTGCCTGACTCTAAATCTTAGAGAATACATTTGTGAATATAATTCACAAGACAAAAACCGGTTATGGTGGACATCGACTCAGCAAATCAGCACCAACATTCTCAGAACCTTTCACCGCACGTATCAGGAATCGGTAAGGCTGCAATGCTAAGGCCCACCTCATGACTCGCCCGTTTGTCAACTTTGCTTTGCTCATCCATACAAGAGGCTGGTGATCAGTTTCTAACACAAACTCTCTCTCGTATAGATATCTCGTCAACTTTTGTACTGCCCACACTATTGCCAAACACTCTTTCTCAATAGTGGAGTATGCTTTCTCTCTTTTCAGTAGCTTTCTACTCACAAACATTACGGGGAATTTCTCATTTTCATGCTCCTGCAATAATATTCCACCTATCCCTACATCAGAAAGCATCAGTGCGAACTAAGAATGGTTTGTGTAAATCTGGAAGCCGTAAAATCGGAAAAAGATGACAAATACTTCTTCAGAGCTTGGAAAGCATTCTCTTGACATTCTGTCCATTCCACCTTGTTCGATTTACCTTTTTTTGTCAAATCAGTGAGTGGTGCTGCAATTGCCGCAAAGTTAGGAATGAACTTCCGGTAATAACCAGTAAGTCCTATCAGAGCTCTTACTTGTTTCTTCGTCTCTGGTCTGGCCAGATTCAGAATCTTATCTAGATTGTGTGAATTGAGGGCTAACTGACCTTCCCCAACTGTGTGACCTAGGAATTCCAAATGTGTATATCCTATCTTTACCTTAGAAGGGCGTGCTGTCAAATGATGCTGCCTGAGATGATCAAATACCATTCTGAGACTACTTCTGTGGTTCTCCCAGTCCTCTGTACCCTCCAAGATGTCATCAATATAATTATCAACATTCGGAATATCTTTTAGGACTTTTCTCCTCAACCAGGAAAAAACTGCCGGAGCGTTCACAACCCCAAATGGCATAACCTTCCATTGATACAACCCATCAGGGGTAATAAAGGCAGTATATTCTTTGCTCCTTTCCTCCATGGGAACTTGCCAGCAAGCCTTGCTAATGTCAATTTTGGTCAGGTATTTGCATTTACTCAACTTGCTGAATACAGCTTCAGCCAATGGAATAGGTTCCGGATCAAATACTGATATCTGATTCAATTTCCTGAAATCTGTACAAAAACGGTAAGTCTCGTCAGGTTTCTTAATCAGGACTACTGGAGCAGCATAAGGTGAATTTGATGGTTCTATCACATCCATCCTTAACATGGACTCTACCTCTCTAGCAACTACCTCCCGCATATGATGGGGCAAAGGATAGGGCTTGGAACTGATTGGTTCAGTAGAGGTTAATTTAATTTTGTACTCTATAGAGTCTGTCCTACCAGGTAGATCTGTGAGCACATCTTGATATTCAGAAACTAACTCACTCACTTCCTGTTTCTGCTCTGGTGTCAAGTCTGGGGAAATGTCCACATCCAAGTAAGTTTCCTTAGCACAAAGAGGGATCGTCATGACATCCAACTTGTCTGAACCTGGGCTAACCTCATCCATTGCTTCTTGAACATCAATTAACCCTGCTCCTACATGCTGTAAGCTAGTGATACTTACATCACATCAATTAACCCTGCTCCTACATGCTGTAAGCTAGTGATACTTACATCACATCAATTAACCCTGCTCCTACATGCTGTAAGCTAGTGATACTTACATCACATCAATTAACCCTGCTCCTACATGCTGTAAGCTAGTGATACTTACATCACATCAATTAACCCTGCTCCTACATACTGTAAGCTAGTGATACTTACATCACATCAATTAACCCTGCTCCTACATACTGTAAGCTAGTGATACTTTTCACATCACATCAATTAACCCTGCTCCTACATGCTGTAAGCTAGTGATACTTACATCACATCAATTAACCCTGCTCCTACATACTGTAAGCTAGTGATACTTACATCACATCAATTAACCCTGCTCCTACATGCTGTAAGCTAGTGATACTTACATCACATCAATTAACCCTGCTCCTACATACTGTAAGCTAGTGATACTTACATCACATCAATTAACCCTGCTCCTACATACTGTAAGCTAGTGATACTTACATCACATCAATTAACCCTGCTCCTACATACTGTAAGCTAGTGATACTTACATCACATCAATTAACCCTGCTCCTACATACTGTACGCTAGTGATACTTACATCACATCAATTAACCCTGCTCCTACATACTGTAAGCTAGTGATACTTACATCACATCAATTAACCCTGCTCCTACATACTGTTAGCTAGTGATACTTACATCACATCAATTAACCCTGCTCCTACATACTGCAAGCTAGTAATACTACATCACATCAATTAACCCTGCTCCTACATACTGTAAGCTAGTGATACTTACATCACATCAATTAACCCTGCTCCTACATATTGTAAGCTAGTGATGCTTACATCACACAACATTGCGTTCACAGCTATTTCCCTGTCAACATACTTCTTCAATAAGTTTGCATGGTAAGTTTTCAACTTATTCCCGACTCTCACTCGATAATTGCCAATGCCAAACCGTTCCTCAATGGTGTAAGGACCTTTCCACTGTAGTAATAACTTGTTCTGATTGGTTGGCAATAATACCAATACCTTGTCTCCTGGGACCATCTTTCTATACTTCGACTTGGCATTGTAATATTTCTGATACCTTCCAGAAGCTTTCTTTAGTTCCTGGTGTGCTAAGCGCATTGTATCTTCAATCCTGTTTTGAAGATCTACTACATATTCATAAGTAGTCCTGACCTCATCATTTTCAATGTCCTTAGTCCACAGTTCACGTAAAATTTGTACTGGACCCCTAATCTTCCTGCCATACAATAAGTCAAAAGGTGCAAAACCGAGACTTTCTTGTGGTACCGCCCTATAAGCAAATAAAAGTGCAGGTATATATCTATCCCAATCTTGAGGCCGTTCAGCACTTAACCTTTTCAACATGGTTTTCAAAGTACCGTTGAATCGCTCAACCAAGCCATTACGCATGGGGTGATATGGTGTAGTGGTCAACTGTTTCAATGACAACAACCTGCTAACTTCCTTCATTACTGCAGAAGTAAATTGGGAACCCATGTCTGTCAATATTTCCTTTGGGACACCAACTCTACAAAATATCTCCAGCAATGCTTCTGCCACCTACTCGGTCTCAATTCTAGGCAATGCTACTGCTTCAGGATATCTAGTTGCATAATCTACAACTGTTAAGATATACCTATTGCCTCTATCTGTAACAGGGTATATCGGGCCAATCAGATCAATGCTATTCTCTCAAAAGGTGTCTCAATCAACGGCTTGGTACCTAACGGGATTTTACTGACCTTCCCCTTGGAAGTAGTACGCTGACAAATATCACAGGATATGCAATTCCGTCTAACATCTCCCTGTACACCAGGCCAATAAAACTGTGAAGTCACTCTATCCAATGTCTTCTTGCTACCCATATGACCACCGATCAATGCCTCATGAGACACTCTCAAAACATCCTTTCTCAAACTTATGGGTACAACTGCTTGTACAACTGGTTTACTGTTATTGACTTTAGCAGAAACATGCCTCCTGTACAACAAACCATGATCAATGAAGTAACCAGACGTACCATGAGTCGTGTTTCTGACCTTGTTCTCTTCTGCCATTTTCCTCACTTTATTCAAACTCTCATCCTGCCTCTGCATTTCCACAAACTCATTTCTACTCAAGGAAACACCAACTGAAACTATAGTTTTCATGGGGATTTTACCTTCCTCTCTCACTCTTTTCTGACCTCTAGTTTCTACTGCTAGCACTGTTTCTGTGGTTTCTGGAAAGGGATTATCAGGGGCTCTAACTCCAGGAATATTACCCAAGATCAAATCACACAAAGGAGTCTCCGGACAAGCTGCTTTAACAGTACCTCTGTAGAAGGGAGTATCAATAGTAATCCAAGCTACCGGAATTACAACTGCTCTACTATCTGCCATTACACATGTCTGAGTATCTGAAGTGAAATGCTGTTCATCAACTAAAGATTTCCTCACAATAACCCCGCTACAACCGGTATCTCGTAATACCTGCACAGCATGATCAAACACTTTACCTTGACAAATAGGCATTGTTCCACACATTCCACACATTGTCCCTGAAGTTACCTCCCCCTCATTATCATCTGTGATGATTTTATCCTTCTCTACATGTGCGTCCACCTGAGCTTCAGTTATCAGACCATCCTGTACCATATCAACAGACTCCTCTCGGTAAATACTAGCAACCTTCATACCTTTTGTATGATGCTTAGAACATCGAGAGGCTATGTGACCCACCTCCCCACAAGCATAACATTTCCTCTGATTTATAGAAACAAACTTAGTAGGTTCTCTTTTGTCATCTATGTTCTTGACTTTTCTACTGTCCTCATAACCTTTCTCTTTAATTCTGTCTTGGTGAACATATTTGTTACTCTTGCTATACAAAGGATTCTGGAACTTACTAAATCCTGTGCCTCGTGCTTCAACAAATTGTTCAGCAAGTTTAGCCATTTCCATAGCTGTCTTAGGCGTCCTCTCCCTCAGAAACATGCTCAAATCTCTCCCTGTACTATTGAGAATCTGTTCCCTCAGTAGGAGATCTCTCACCCCGTCATATGTTTTCTCAGTGCCACTTAACTCTATCCACCTGGTGAAATAATTCTCGATTCTCACTACAAACTGAGAAAAGTCTCACCTGTTTCAATGTTAGCTGTCCTGAAACGTTGATGGAATCCATCCTCAGTCATGTCATACCTCTTCAAAAGAGCAGTCTTCACTTCCTCATATTTCTCCGCATCATTTTGATCTAACCGAGAATAAACTTCTAACGCCTTACCTTTCAATAGTGTACTCAGATAAGCTGCCCACTGTGACTCTGGCCATGCTTGTGTCTTAGCTATTCGAACCTTTGCAAATAGGCATCAATGTTATCTTTCTGATCTTCAAAAGGGGCATTTTAGGCATTTTAGGCTTACCTGGGAGAGAAGGGGTACTGTTCTCTGGAGCCTCACTCATACTATTTTCTTTCTTTAGTTTCTCCAATTCTACTCTTTCAGTCATTTCTAACTGGGCTTTTTCTTTCTCTAACTCCACATGTAACCTCACCTTCTCTTTCTCTGCTTCTATGCTAGCCTTCTCTTTCTCTGCTTCTATCCTAGCCTTCTCTACCTCCATTCTCTCCTTTTCTTTCTCTCTCTCCAGCTTAGCCTTCTCCAACTCTTGCTCAAACTTTTTAGCTTCCCTTACATTCGCTCTCTCCTCTCTTTCTCTTTCCGCCTGCTCTTTAGCTAGCTGTATGTCAATCTTTTCTTTCACAAACAACTGTAAATCCTTTCCCGTATAACCCAAACTTTCACCAAAATCTGCAATTTTCTGTAAATCCATGGTGACAAACCAACCAGCAATCACAAGTAAAAACAAAACTCCCACTAAAATCTGACTTCCCATGTACCAATCCTTTACACTTCCTTATAAAGGATACACAACTGCACACTTCCCTGCTGAGTTAACACAGGGGCTCGTACACCTTAGAGCATACCGACGGCCAAAACATGGTTAAAGGCTGAGAAAGGCTTAATAGGTCTAAAGTCCACCATACTATCACCTACGGTCAAAACAATTTTTACTCCAGATGTGACGGAAAATTTTACATCCCACCGCTGCCACCAAAAATGTCACATACTAGAGTAAACACAAAACCAGATTTAAAAGTTAAAATAATTTATTAACTAAATTTACCCTATTTCCAATAGTTAATATAGGCTTGCATCACAACTTCATTCTCGCATTACCAAACACCCTCACACTCTTTCCCCTACACACCCAAACAAGCACATCATACCTCACCATTCACATATACTCACATACACTCACATCAATACTCAAAATATCACAACACCACAATTGTCTTTTTAAAGAAACGCTCAACAATTCATATGATTATGTCATGTACATGGAAGATGGAATAGGCACAAATCAGTTGCATGCTATATAAATCACTGACGATGTTATTGTCACCACATGTGGGGTTTCCAGACAGTTCAGGTCTTTGGTGGTAGGTTAGGGGTCCTTCCCCTGCATGTAAGTCTCTACACACTTTGGCGGCATGTCCATATGATTCCTGTTGATCAGTTGGTCCAGCCTTACTGACGGGGCACGTCACTCTCCCCCAGATACACAGATGTTAGTTCACATCCATGGGCGGCATGTCAGGGTCGATCCCTAACGATCGGCGGGACAGCCTTACAGGGTGTAACACCTACCCCGGACACTGGATACAAAAAAGCACACCATGTACTTGGTGACTTTACATGTACACTATCTATATTTCTATATATATACATATATATAGATCACATACACAGGATATGTTTACAGGGCTGTTTTACAGTCACTTAATACACAACACTACCACTATACATTACACGTGACCTGCTGAATGAATATCATCATTACGCCAGTATACTAACTTAGAGACATTCTCAAAATGTCACATACTGATCACAATTCACTCATATTACTAACCACAGCAATAATATTACCTATATTTCACCTAAGTTATAGTTACATGCTTTAAGGTGAAATACCAATAATTTTACTATATATATATATATACAATTCATAGTCATATTCTGACTGAAACATAACATAACATTATCATACTCACACCAGTTGAATATTCAGGAAAACCAGCCAACCTGACACCTGACGCGCACATACACTTTCCAACTGGCTGCCAACTCACAACTTTCAAATCAGTCCTTATATACCCCCCAAGCTACTTGATTAACCCCAAGCTTACTACCCAGATACATACAATGGCTCTCATACTGCACACCCCAACACTCGCTCAACGCTTACATCACTGCTCCAGCTAGCCTCTTTTCACTCCCAATTTCTCACACCCCAGACAAAGAATAAAACATATTACACTAATTGTGATCTTGACACTACTTGGGTTGTCAGTCAAGACGCGATGAGGTAATTTTACGACGATGTCATATTGGCCACAGCCGACTTACTCATGACTATCTGCTGAAAACGGATGGGGATGGACCCCCCATGTGTGTCTCTTGCGATGGGGTTTTCACATTCAAGCATATTCTGCTTGAATGCGTGGACTTATCGTCTGCAAGGGACTCACATTATGATGCAACAAACCTAAAAGATCTGTTCTCCCGCGTGAGCGCTCATCTGATAGTGAACTACCTGAGGGAAGTTGAACTGTATCATAAATTGTAACTGTGAAATGTAACTATCATAAATTGTAACTGTGAAATGTCACTAACAAATTGCCTGTCTTTAAATTTGATGCTATTACTTTTTCTGCTTTTAAATGACAATGTAATGAATATATGTTTTTGAAATAAAACTCATACCGAGTATGTACTTACAATGTTTATCAATGCAAACTTGTTCTCGTCACTATATGGCTGGAATAATGCCGATGTGACGCAAAACCCAACTCAACTCAACTCAACTCTGTCTTCGCCACCCTAGCAGATGGTGAAACCACAGGTCGATCTTACCCTCACAAAACTCAAAACGTCAGAAACAAATCCTTTGGTGTTCCAACAGGAATAGAACCAGTTACGTTCCAAGTGCAACACAGTTGCAAGTGCTACAGTCATTGGATCCAAGACTGTCGCCTCTAGAATTACCGACAACAGTTCTATTTTTACTGCTGAGGCCAAAGTTATCTTCAAAGCTTGACCGATATTGAACAACAGAACCATTCCAATAACTTGAGGGGGTCACATGAGATTATAAGCTCAAGCAGTTAACCTAAATCATGTTTTGTTTCATTTTGCAATAGTTCCAGCCAACACGTCTATATTGAAGTTGAAATTGAATCTGAATATATCACTGACATGCAGTAACAATAATTATTTACTGCACTGAAGACATTTGAAGTGCATTTGGTTGAAGCAAACAACCCTGACCATGAAAATCATTTTATACTATTACCTAGGGCTGGGACGGGCCCACTATTACCCCACCCTACCCGGATACCCAGTATGTTCATGCCTGACATCAAATTTGTAAGAAATGGTAATATATTCCTCAGCTCGGAGGCTAAAATGTTAATTTTTTCAATATCTTAACCATGTATAATATTCAAAACAAATGACTAAATGTCTAAATCTACAAAGACAATACAACCTTTTAAAGTTTTTGAAAGGCATTTAGAAGTTGGACGAACATGAATACATGACACCTTTTAATCATGAAAGAATAACATATTACAATCTATTAGTCACATAATCACAACGGGTCCAGGTATTGAGACGGGTACCCGGGTCCAACTCATTACCCACCCATCCCAGGTGTCCGGGTTACCCGTCACAGCCCTACTATTACCTTTATCATTATGTTCGCAAAACTGTGACGCAATACTTCAATTAAACATTCCATATTAAGACTCTATTTCATTTTCTTTATTTGTTAACCATCGGCATACAGCCATTACATAATGGGAACGGGGAGCGTGAAAGTATGGTGTAACAGCAACTAAGAAAATGATGTCGTAGACAGAGGGCTATACTCATAAAAATGTAAGGGACCTCATTTTGATTTACGATTGAAAAATACGTTGACATAATTTTATAATTTACTTTAAATTGTAAATATATTTATAACTTGATTTAGTCACGATATGGCTGAAATACTGCCGATGTGACTTAAAATCTTAACTCACTCACTCCTCGTAAGGGATAGCTAACGGGATGAGGCTCGCTGACTTGATTGATCCATGCCATCGTAAATAAACTGCGTACACTGATGCTCATGATGTCAATCACTGGGGTGTCTGTTCCAAACTTGGCCGCGGTCACATAGCTGAGGCATAGCTGAATGTTAGACAACAACGTAGCAAGGTCGGCCAAACATCAGTCATACTACATGGCATGACACATCAGGGCTACAGATAAGGGGCGTACAGGCGTAATGTACGCCTCAAAATCAATTAAGTACGACATAATATAAGATTTCAAGCGTATCGTGTACGCACATAAATACCTTTGTACGTCTAACATTTAATTTCCGTGCATATCGTGCAAATGGAAATCTATTTCGGATAAATACTTGTGAAGTTTCTTTTGCGAAACACGATTTGACACATGAGGAAACCCCGACAGTAGGAATCCCTTGCGTTGCCATGCAACGATATGCGTCACTATTTTTCGATTGGCTAAAAAACTACACTGTTCCTATTTATATTCAGTCGGACCTGACATTTCGCGCATCACACGGTCGCTCAGTTATTTCTCACGCGTCTTCAAATACAAATACATGGTTGGAAATAGTGATCGATGAATCTTCCAGACAAACCACATCACAAACTCGCTCACACAAAAACATGTCAGTACTCCTTCACAATTCTCAGTACACCTCCACTGGCAATATGATGTGTAAGTACACTCAAACCCCTAAAAGTTATCTGGAGCCCTGACACATTACTTATTGACGTTCGTTCGACCAGACAACAGCCTCACGCAATCCGAGCATTCATTTGACTGAATCACATCCTTATTGTTATTTCAAGAACTGGATGGTGATTTATTACAGTAAGAGGACAAAAAACCTATATATTGGCTAACCAACTGACCTAAAGAATAGCGGGAACGTACATTAGCAGTCATAATGAGAATTGCATCGAGCATTGTTTTCGTCGCCAATGCATGAAAGTTTCCTCCACATGTCTACAATAGAACATTAAGAATGTTGTACCTTTGATTGAACGTGTGCGCGTGTCTGATATTCCGCTCCTGTGTATTTTGTGTAAGACATTTACAGTCCCATTCTCTTCCCACAGAGGTTACTCCTGTCATATCTTCCTACGTAACCTCTGTTCTAATACGGCCCTTTCATGGTGTGAGCGTTCAAGACTCGTGATTGGAGGTAATCAGATTTAGTTGTGCAATCAGCGACGTTGTTTCAAAAGTGATCATTCGCAAGGCCTCGGTAATTTCCGTATACTTCGAGAAAACTAAACCTCTTCCCCTGCGCGATGCGCAAACGTTTCTTCTTGACAGAACTCTGTCATGTTATGGTGGATCAGTGGCGTCTCCATCGCCCTCGTTGACAACGGACAAGCTAGCCATTAAACGTCTTGTGTGTAACATCAACACAAGTCCCCGGCAGATGGGGGATATTTGTGGCCTCACATTTGCTTGTGTTAGTCAAGTTGAATCTAAGTCGATGTAACACGTGTTCTGATTGGATAGAAAGAAGGGAGATAATTCGTGTTGCGATCTTTTGCCGCTAGGGGATTGTACGAGAACCGGGAAATGTGGCCGTATTAGAACAGAGGTTACGTAGGAAGATATGACAGGAGTAACCTCTGTGAGGAAGAGAATGTTACAGTCCCTGTTTGACAATATAAA